TAAGCGGCTGGAATAAATTGTGTGGGTCCCAGTATGGCCCTGACTGTCCCAGTCATAGATCAGCATTGGTCTACAGTGGAGTCATTCTACTTTATTTCTAAAACTTTGTACTCCCAAGTTGTTTTTTTTTTTTTAAGAAGTATACTTGATTTACAAGGCTGAGGTAATTTCTGGTGTATAGCACAGTGATTCAATTATATGTATATATATATACTCTTTTCCATTATGATTTATTGTGTGTTAAGTTGCTTAGTCATGTCCAACTTTTTGCGACCCCATGGACTGAAGCATGCCAGGCTTTCCTGTCCTTCACTGTCTCCTGGAGTTTACTCAAACTCATGTCCATTGAGTTGGTGATGACATCCAACCATCTCATCCTCTGTTGCCCCCTTCTCCTCTTGCCCTCAGCCTGTATTAATGTAATGTATAATGTAATAAAGGTTGATTATAAGATATTGAATACAGTTCCCTGGATATACACTTCCTTGCTGTTTATCTTTTCTATGTAGCCCTGTATCTGCTAATCCCAAGCTCCACATTTATCCCTGCCCACACTTTCCCCTTTGGTAACCTGAAGCTTGTTTTCTATGTCTGCGCATCTGTTTCTGTTCTGTAAGTTCCCTTTTGTATCATTTTATAGATTCCACACATGTGATGCCATATATTCACCTTCTGTCTAACTGACTTCTCTCAGTGTGATCAGCTCTGATCCATCCCTGTCGCTGCAAATGGCATTATTTCACTCTTTTTATGACTCAGCAATATTCTGCTGTGTATATGGATATGTACGTACCACATCTTCTTCATCCACTCCTCTGTCAATGGACCTCTAGGTTGCATTGATGTTTTGGCTGTTGTAAACAGTGCTGATGTGAACACTGGGGGGTGTGTATCTTCAGATCGGAGCTTTCTCAGGATATGTGCCCAGGAGTGGACTTGCTCGACTCTAGAATAATCCTATTTTTAGTTTTTTAAGGACTCTGCATACTGTTTTCCATGATGGCTTCGCCAATGGACATTACAATCCTACCAACAGTGCAGGGAGGCGGAGGCTTCTCTTTTCAGTAGAGACATTTAAAATCTCAGATAGCTAATGTATGGCGTCAGATGTCTGAAAATGTGTGATTTATTTTCTCCATAAATTGTGAATGCTCTCCAATTTGCCCCAAACTTTTAAGAAGCTCTAATTGACCCAATGAAGGAATTCAATTACATATTTTATCATCATTTCTATACTCAAGTGCTTGATTTCTTTAGGTTTGGAACTTTCATTCGCTCACTCACTCATTCACTTGCTTCCGAGCCTGACAGCAGAATTGCAGGGAGGTATAAAACCATGTGCGTGCGTGCTAAGTCACTTTAGTCAAGCCCAACTCTTTGCAACACTATGGACCGCAGCCCACCACGTTCTTCTGTCCATGGGCTTCTCTAGGCAAGAATACTGGAGTACGTTGCCACTTCCTCCTCCAGGAATCTTCCCGAAACCAGGGATTGAACCCATGGCTCCTGCATTGGCAGGAGGGTTCTCTACCATGAGGGCCATCTGAGAAGCCACCATAAAACCATATAGGGCCCTCCAAATTGATTATTTTTTACTTTTCTAACCATTAAAATGTAACTCAAACTCACAGACTTAGAAAGTGAACTCATGGTTGCCAAGGGGAGGGAATAGTTAAAGACTTTGTGAAGGTCACGTACACATTGCTATACTTAAAATGGATAACCAACAAAGACCTATTGTATAGCACATGGAACTCTGCTCGATGTTATGTGCCAGCCTAGATGGGAAGGGAGTTTGGGGGGAGAATGGATACATGTATATGTATATGTCTGTGTTCCTTCACCGCTCACCTGAAACTATCACGTTGCTCATCAGCTATACCGCAGTACAAAATGCTTTTGGCGTTTAAAAAAAAAAAAGTAACTCAAGTACACAAATCTATCTGCCAAGAAAGGAAGCGGGTGCTAAGTGTTCTGATAGAGTAGGACAGGGCAGTGGGACCCCTTGGGATCAGAAGTCCAGCATTTTAACCTTCAGGTTATTCTAAGTCCTTGGTAATCACCCATGATACTGGCGCAGAACCCGCGGCCGGCCCCCAGATGGCTCCAGTCCGGGGCGAAGCAGGACAAGCAGAGCCACCCACCCCGGGAGCTCACGCTGACTGCCACTCCCGGAGGGACGAGAAGGGTCCACCTTGCCTTACGCAACTCCTAAATTTAATCTGGGGCTCAGAGCAGGAGGTGGATCAAAGGGTGGATGACCTGAGGTCACCTGTGCTCTGGCAAGGCATCTCTTGAGCGTGGTGAATCGGCGTGGTGGCCCCGTGCCCAGGGCAGAGATTTGAGAAAATCACCCGTGGCAACAATGAGGCCAGGAGTCCTCAGTGACTGCCAGGAAGCTTGCTGAATGTTGGAGGGAGAGAGATTTTATGTGTAATCCAATTTGGAACAACAACAACATCAACTGAACGCTCCCGGTTCTGCAAGGGAGAAAGCCAGCCCGGGTCTGAAGGGACCCTGATCGTGCCACTGGCCGGAGGTGGGGGCTGGCTTCCTGGTGAGACATTCATCTCATCAAGCTGCGGTCTCCACGACTGCAAATCGGGACCCCCTACCTCAAAGGTTTTGTGAGGCTTCAAGGCCAGCACCTAAGTACTCCGCAAACCACAGTTATTAGTATTATAAGCCTCCGGGTTACTGTGACGGGTAGAGGCCATGCCAAGCGGCAAAGGCCCCCTAAACAAGGGGGGACCCTAATTACCCTAATATAAGCTCCACAGAGACGCTCTCCAGGTTGGCCCTCAGAGTGGGGACCTGTGAGAAAGAGGTACAAAGTTGGCATCATCAGTGACAAGAGGGAAAATTCAGCCTCATATCCTTCTTGCAGACCTTCTCCAAGTCTTGGAGAAAACTTCAACAAGGAAGAAATAGCAGAAGCACACAAAAATGAACCTTAGCAGCAGGAAGGAGCCTCTCTGAGCCCCAGCTGCTGCTGCTGCTAAGTCACTTCAGTCGTGTCCGACTCTGTGCGACCCCAGAGACGGCCCCCCGCCAGGCTCCCCTGTCCCTGCGATTTTCCAAGCAAGAACACAGGAGTGGGTTGTTATTTCCTTCTTCAATGCATGAAAGTGAAAAGTGAAAGTGAAGTCGCTCAGTCATGTCTGACTCCTAGCGACCCCATGGACTGCAGCCCACCAGCCTCCTCGGTCCATGGGATTTTCCAGCCAAGAGTACCAGAGTGGGGCGCCATTGCCTTCTGAGCCCCAGCACCTCTGACCAGAGGGATGCAGATCCTGCTGGGTGCTAATCAGGTGAATGAACCTTAAACATAAGCCTCATTTCCCCATGGAGACCCTCCGCCTTCACGCGAATGGACAGCCTGTGGCCACTGGCCAAGGAGCAAGATATGGGTGAGGACCAGTGATGATGGGGGCAGGCTAGTCCCCAACAGGGTTCCACTCTTCCTGACCCCCCCCAGACATCTAAGAAGCCACCTTTCCCAGGTGAGGTATGATCCCAGAATGAAGCCATCTTCCCTCAACATCCCACTTTTATTCCACATATTTTATGCAGCAGGCAATGTGCTGACTGTTTTCAGCAGGTGATAATTTCTAACCCCCAAAATGACCCTGAGATGTAGTATTATTGAACCAACTGTGGTGATATTTCTAATCCCCACACTGACCCTGAGATGTAGTATTGTTGAACTAACTGGGGTGATGTTTCTAATCCCCACACTGACCCTGAGATGTAGTATTGTTGAACTAACTGGGGTGATGTTTCTAATCCCCACACTGACCCTGAGATGTAGTATTATTGAACCAACTGTGGTGATGTTTCTAATCCCCACACTGACCCTGAGATGTAGTATTGTTGAACCAACTGGGGTGATGTTTCTAATCCCCACACTGACCCTGAGATGTAGTATTGTTGAACCGACTGGGGTGATGTTTCTAATGCCCACACTGACCCTGAGATGTAGTATTGTTGAACTGACTGGGGTGATGTTTCTAATGCCCACACTGACCCTGAGATGTAGTATTGTTGAACTAACTGGGGTGATGTTTCTAATCCCCACACTGACCCTGAGATGTAGTATTGTTGAACCAACTGGGGTGATGTTTCTATTCCCCACACTGACCCTGAGATGTAGTATTGTTGAACCAACTGGGGTGATGTTTCTAATCCCCACACTGACCCTGAGATGTAGTATTGTTGAACTGACTGGGGTGATGTTTCTAATGCCCACACTGACCCTGAGATGTAGTATTGTTGAACTGACTGGGGTGATGTTTCTAATCCCCACACTGACCCTGAGATGTAGTATTGTTGAACTGACTGGGGTGATGTTTCTAATGCCCACACTGACCCTGAGATGTAGTATTATTGAACCAACAAGCTGGATAAGTGAGGCTCCCAAAGACTGAATACCTGGCCCAGCCGAAGACACGTGGATGCGTGTAGCACTTTGCTCACCCCACGTTCCTTCCTCTCCCCAGGATTCTGAATGCAGGTGGATAGAGAGCTATCCCGTGGGGTGGACTCTGAGCCAGGCTGCAGAACCAGGCCCAGGTGTGGGTCGGTCGACCAGCTGGGTAACAGTTGCAGGGTCGGGCTTGGGGCCTTCATTCCTGCCCTGTGTAATCGCCAACCCTCAAGCCACCCTGAATATATATTGGATATAAGCTAGAACATAGCCCTTGCCGGGCTTCCCAGGTGGCGCTAGTGGTAAAGAACCTGCCTGCCAATGCAGGAGACGTTGAGAGATGTGAGTTCGATTCCTGGGTTGGGAAGCTCCCCGGAAGGAAGGCACAGCAATCCACTGTAATATTCCTGCCTGGAGAATCCCATGGACAGAGGAGCCGGGCAGGCTACAGTCCATGGGGTCCAAAGTCGGACACGACTGAAGGGACTTCACATGGCGAGGCACGAAGTCCTTGCCAAGAAATTCAGCTTCAGAATAAGCGTCCTCCCCAGCTCACCGCCCCCGCCCCCAACAGCCCTTCCTGTGGAGACCTGAGGCTGTGCCTGCCCTGGCCGGCTCAGAGGGGAGGACCCAGACGACAGAGACGGGGCCTGCGGAAGCCCGAGGTCGAGGGCAGAAGGCGCTCAGCCACCAGCGACAACGCTGGGTGGCATGGGAGGCTGACCGCGTGGTGCTCCGGGGAGCACGTGAGTCCGTCGGAGCCAGGAATTCCCGGAGGGAGTGGGAAAGGCCCGCGTGTTAGACAAACCGGGGACTCACACGGGGCCGACGGGACGTGTGCGGGGATCAGGAGGGCCGGGTGGCCGCGTGTGGGAAAACCCGAAGCGCTTGGCACACCCAGAGGGGAGGGGCTCGAGGGGCCGTGCGCCAAGCTGGCGCTGGGGCTTCCTGGTAAAGGCCATCGGGGGGCCCTGGGGCCCAAGGCAAGACAGCTGCCAGCATCTCGGACGGGAAGCTAACCAGTGCCAGGGCTGGGGGCGGGGGGGATGTTGAGAGCAACCATCCAGGCAAGAGCCAGCGGCGAGTGGAATTGCCAAAGGCAGCCGTGACCGACGAGACCGGACAGAAGCGTGGTGGAGACGCCTTCACTGCGCTGGAACCGGGCTGTGTGAAAAACTACGAAGACGTGGGCAACTTTCACATACAGGCGAAAATATGGTTTTCTTCCGGGGTGGGTTGGGGGGCGGAGCTTCAACTATTAAAAGATGTCCATGACCCAAGCAAACGTCCCTATCTGATTTTGGAGACGCACGGCGTCCAGGGGCAGGACGGGGTACTTGACCGGATGACGAGAGGCAAGCAGAGGGCATCACTTGTGCTCAGGCTTCTTCCGGGGGTGCCTCAGAGGAGGGCGGCCTACAGACGCGCCAGAGAGCCGGCCGAGCCAGGAGGGCACACGCGCCCACAGGCCCCGCGCGGCTCAGCTGCGCCTGCTCTTTAATTGGGTTAAGCGGTCCAGCGCCAGGGGAAGCGGGCCCGTCCAAGCCAGGGAAGGCTCCAGCTCCTTCACACACCTCTCCCTGGAGGGACCACGTGATGCTCGGCACGCGGAGGACGTGACTCACTCCGCCCAGGGTTGGAGACCTCAGCCCGGGAAAGGAGCTCCGGTCTCAGCCCAGACAGGGAGGGCCCCCTCCGCACATTCCGCAGGTAGACGCAGCAGCAGCAGAGAAAAGCAAGCAGCAGGACGGAGAAAGAAAGGCCGCCACTCTCCCCCATCTACGCGCTTTCAGGCTGGTCCCGGACAACTGCCAGCAGCCGGGGGAGAAGGCGGCGGGCGCCCTGCAGACGAAAAACAACAGCCCGCCAGGCACCCGGCGCAGGCAACGCTGCTGCGCACAAGAGGACTGCCACGGTGGGGGCAGATCAAAGGGCCCCGGGCACCTCGGGGGCGGCTCCCACACTTACAAAAGCACCTCTGTGCCTTTAACTGCAACCCCGGGAAGGGTCCCCGGGTTTCACAACCGGAATGCAGCCCGCAGTGATGTGGTTTGGAAATTAACCTGGCTGCTCTTCCCACTGCTGTTTTACATATTAATTAAAGTGTTTTCCCCGATCAGGAATGCCTGCAGGCTGGCAGGGTTCAGCAAAGGCCCTTCATGCCTGCCACCCCGCAGGGCCCCTGGCTCCCTCGTGCAGGGTTCAAGGATTAAACCTCGCCCGAGTCTGCCCGGGGACCCTGGCCACCCTCACTGGTATCATGCTGGAGGAGACACACCTCAACACAGCTTTTCAGAATTCATCCATCACTTCCTTCCCCGCCCCAAAGAGGACCGTGCAGTGAAATTTAAGGGAGTTGAGTTGTAGAAGAAACAGCTGGAAGGGCGTCCATCTCTTCCTGAATCTGTAGGCATCTCATCCACGAGCCTGTTCCTTTCTTCTTTTTTCCTGTCCCAGCAGTGTCTGGAAAATTCACAAACAACTCACATTTCAAGAATAAAGGGACTACATACAGCTGATTCACTTCAATGTACAGCAGAAAGTAACACAACACTGTAAAGCAACTATACCCTATCTTTTAAAAAAAAAAAAAGTGAAAAAAAATACGTTGACTTGTCTAGATGATATATTTTTAGGGCATCATAGTGGCTCAGAGTTTGAAAACCACAGAAACCTGAACCCTCAACTTGAAAAACTGTACGACAGACTCAGTTTCCAGCAGCCTGCTCCAATCTCTGACTCTGCATCCTCAATTTGCAACTTCTAATATTATAATATCACGTTTTTAAACTGAAGGTTTGTAGTGGTGCTTAAGATATACAATAATGCCAGGACTTCCTCATTACATACATGTGGTTCATATATCTGCCACCAGGATAACAAAGTTAAGTCATAGTTACTGCTGTAGGTTTTAGATAAGTTTAGCATAATACATCCTTTTCAGTTCTGAATTACAATTTGGACTGTATCCATAAACTTCTTGGATGATGTTAAGGATACGTCTTTCTTTGTGATTTCAGAGAACTTTGTTCCCTGTAAAATCAAGGGTCAGGCGATTTAAATTCAACAATGCAAAATGTAAGGCTAATTGGTCATCTGTAACAAAGGCAATTCAGTTTCTAAGCCAAAGAGCAGATTACTCCAAAATTTATGTAACGTGTGGAAGTAGATAGCAATATAAATAAGGAAATCCAGTTGACTTACTGAAAATAGAGCTACTCTATTTCCCTACTTGGGATTCCCAGGTGGTTCAAGTGGTAAAGAATCTACTTGACAATCCTTTGGTCAGGAAGATCAGCATCTATTTATAAAATTCAAAAGAGATGAATGAAGGTCAGGATTCATTGTAATGAGCGTTTAGGGGTGCTCATTCACCCCTAAACACAGAGTGCCAGCAGAAACGCCATCACTGTGGACTTAGGCTTTGAGTGTATCTCTGCAGTATATACATACCACACCCCCAAGCTGCAAACTTAGTGTGAACCAGTTAGGGTGTCGGAAACCCTGTACCAAACTAGTTTATTTAACGAGGAAATGTAGTCAGTCCAGAGGCAGGGCCCGCTACAGCCTGGAGGACCCATCAGTCTCCAGTCTCAACCCTCAGGCTCATCCATCCGGCATTAGCTCCGCCCCTTAGCTGGCACCTCTTGGAGTGCTGGGCTGACAGCCTGAGAACGTACCCACATCCACTAAGGCCTGCACGGGCATCGGCAACCTCTTAGAAATGTCTGTGGACTGGAGCTGGGGAATCTCCAGCAGACGAACAGGCTGTGTGCAGTTTCGAGTCCCTAACCCCAAAATAACGCAAGGGGATGGAGTTCATTGATCCCCCAGGATTTCTGCACCGGGAAATAGGACTCAAGCACTCTGAGGCTCCTTCCAAATCCAAGAGCCTGTGACAGTACACCTGTTTGAGACAGTCCCACTTTGCCAGGATGGAAGATTCACACAGCATTTATTGAATGCCTACTGTATGCAGGGCACCCTTCTTCTAGGGTCTGGAGAGCAGGTGTGAGCAAGGCAGACCTCACCGCCAAGGGTCACTTACGTTCTTGTAGGGAAGATGGACAGCACACAGGATCAGTCAGGGAAACACACGGTCTTGGGAAGAGGGACAAGCAAGACAGAAAAGTGCATGTGAAGTACTGAGGCACTGCTCAAGTTTTCATTTTAAATAGTAGCCAGGGAAGCACGGACAGAGAAAATAACTATCCCAGTCTCCCGCCTCCATTCTTTGTCCGTGAGGCAAAGATCTGGGTTCAAGTCTTTTATCCGAGAGCCAACTCCAGGAAGCCCAGCAGGGAAGTCAGGGGGTGGGCGGGAAGCAGGGTGCGTGGAGACGTAAGAGTGAGCCCCTCTGGGGCAGTGGGGACTCAGGGTGGCTGAGGACTGGTAGGGGCACAGCTCGGATGTCCCTCCAATAGAGGACCAGGTGGAGCCGAGATCCTGGGGCCCAGGGAGCCGCCCTCCGCGGTGGGCACAGGGAGGTGTCCACGGGCAGCAGCCCCTGCAGGGAGACCTCAGGAGACGCAGGGCTGGAGTCAGGGGTGGGGAGGCAGAGCCAGAGATGGAGACGGAAAGGTTTCCAGGACACAGGCTTTGCCTCCAAGTGACGCGGGGACACATCTGACCTGTTTTCTTAACAGGGTCACAATGCTTCCGAATGAAGAATGAACTGAAGGGCAGTGGGAACGGTGAGCGGGGGCAGTCTGAGAGCAAGCCAGGGGCTGGGTGGGGGCCTCGGCGGTTCTGGGGACCACACAGAGAGGTGCCGCCAGGGGAAGTGGGGTCAGGGGGTCGGAGGCAGCGTTAGGTCAAATCTGCGTGATTGAAAGTTCCATTGAAAGGTCACGCAGGAAAAGCAGGAGCGGGGGCGAGAGAGATGCAGGGAGGTGGAGAGCATGAGGAAGCTAGAGGGACAGGAAAGAGTGGACGGAAAACCAACCTCTTCCTGCTGCTGTGTGTTTGTGTGTCCGCCCCTCTGACACCAATCCAGGACGGAACACCTAAAGTGCAGTGTAAGAATACGAAGAGTCCAACTTACTAGAGTGAGGAGATCCTTGCATTTGCTGCTGATAGGGTAGGAAGTAGGTTTGGAGAGTGATGTCCTTCCTTTTCCACTAAGATGCATCGGCTTCAGGGAGGGAACACCAGACCTGCTGCCCCCTCAACCCCAACGCAAACTGACTTTATTCCCCTTCAAGTCTCCAAACCTTAAAAAAATGAATGTGCATGTTATGAGGTTTAACATAATTTTCATTGAGCGAAAGAATTCAGGGAGAGAGCTTCTCAAACGGCCAATATCAACTGGTTAGATCGTCTAAAGAAACATCTGTGTGGCTGCAGATTTGTCATTCTGATGCTCAGCTCAGCTCATGTCAATGCTCGATGCACAGACACTCAGGAGATCCCTCTTGGTACCCAACAGATTCCAAGCTCTTCTCCTTAGGGTTCTAGGCCCTTAAGATTCATCCCCAGCTTCTCATCTGAGGATCCCCAGGGCCGTGTGGTCCAGGAACAAGAAGAAATCAGGGGCCCTCTCTACACATTTACATGTAGGGAGAGGCCTGCTCCCCACACAGAGGTGGGGACCAGAGACAGGCTGGAGCAGAGAGTCCAGCGGAGCAGGTGGAATTAGCGATGTGTTAGGGAAGAAAGGGATGGAGCCAGGTGAGACCCCAAAGACAGAAATGGATGGGACATGGGGAGGGCCACGGGGGCTATCAGAAGGAAGTGCCAGACTCATTTACTCAGAGGAAACAGTCAGGAGGTGGAACTGGTTTTCAGGGAAAACAGGTATAAGCTTGTAGGTAACTTAGATTTAGGATGCCATTCAGAAAACCAGGAGAAGGGGGTGACAGGACGAGATGGTTGGATGGCATCATCGACTCGATGGACATGAGTCTGAGCAAGCTCTGGGAGCTGGTGATGGACAGGGAAGCCCGGCGTGCTTCTGTCCATGGGGTTTTGCAAAGACTTGGAGGATATGACTGAGCGACTGAACAAGAAAATCAGACAGAGGCGGCCTGCAGGTCCCCGTCAGTGTGCGATCCTGGCTTGTGGGCCGGGGAGCAGCTGCAGACAGGCGGGAGCAGAGGCCAAGGAGGAGGTCGCAGAAGAGGGAAACGCAGACCCAGGAGGTCACAGAAGGCACGCCGGGGTCCACGAGGGTCAGAGGGCAGAGGACGCAGGGAGGGACGGAGGAGGAGGCCAGCTGCGCGGCCAGAGCCCGGGGGAGGCAGCGCCGCGCGTGCAGAGGTGTGGAGCCTGCGTGCCGTGCGTGCGGAGGTGTGGAGCCTGCGCGCCGTGCGTGAGGAGGTGTGGAGCCTGACGGTCCGTGCGTGCGGAGGTGTGGAGCCTGCGGGCCGTGCGTGCGGAGGTGTGGAGCCTGCGCGCCGTGCGTGAGGAGGTGTGGAGCCTGACGCTCCGTGCGTGCGGAGGTGTGGAGCCTGCGGGCCGTGCGTGCGGAGGTGCGGAGCATGCGCTCCGTGCGTGAGGTGTGGAGCCTGACGCTCCGTGCGTGAGGAGGTGTGGAGCGTGACGCTCCGTGCGTGAGGAGGTGTGGAGCGTGACGCTCCGTGAGTGAGGAGGTGTGGAGCGTGACGCTCCGTGCGTCAGGAGGTGTGGAGCGTGACGCTCCGTGCGTGCGGAGGTGTGGAGCCTGCGGGCCGTGCGTGCGGAGGTGCGGAGCCTGCGGGCCGTGCGTCAGGAGGTGTGGAGCCTGACGCTCCGTGCGTGAGGAGGGGTGGAGCCTGACGCTCCGTGCGTGAGGAGGTGTGGAGCGTGACGCTCCGTGCGTGAGGAGGGGTGGAGCGTGACGCTCCGTGCGTGCGGAGGTGCGGAGCCTGCAGGCCGTGCGTCAGGAGGTGTGGAGCCTGACGCTCCGTGCGTGAGGAGGGGTGGAGCCTGACGCTCCGTGCGTCAGGAGGTGTGGAGCCTGACGCTCCGTGCGTGCGGAGGTGTGGAGCCTGACGCTCCGTGCGTCAGGAGGTGTGGAGCTTGACGCTCCGTGCGTGCGGAGGTGTGTAGCCTAACGCTCCGTGCGTGCGGAGGTGTGGAGCCTGCAGGCCGTGCGTGCGGAGGTGCGGAGCCTGCGGGCCGTGCGTGAGGAGGGGGTGGAGCCTGACGCTCCGTGCATGAGGAGGGGGTGGAGCCTGACGCTCCGTGCGTCAGGAGGTGTGGAGCTTGACGCTCCGTGCGTGCGGAGGTGTGGAGCCTGACGCTCCGTGCGTCAGGAGGTGTGGAGCTTGACGCTCCGTGCGTGAGGAGGTGTGGAGCCTGCAGGCCGTGCGTACGGAGGTGCGGAACCTGCGCTCCGTGCGTGAGGTGTGGAGCCTGACGCTCCGTGCGTGAGGAGGTGTGGAGCCTGCGCGCCGTGCGTCAGGAGGTGTGGAGCTTGACGCTCCGTGCGTGCGGAGCTGTGGAGCCTGACGCTCCGTGCGTCAGGAGGTGTGGAGCCTGCGGGCCGTGCGTGCGGAGGTGTGGAGCTTGACGCTCCGTGCGTGAGGAGGTGTGGAGCCTGCGGGCCGTGCGTGCGGAGGTGCGGAACCTGCGCTCCGTGCGTGCGGAGGTGTGGAGCCTGACGCTCCGTGCGTGCGGAGGTGTGGAGCTTGACGCTCCGTGCGTGAGGAGGTGTGGAGCCTGCGGGCCGTGCGTGCGGAGGTGCGGAACCTGCGCTCCGTGCGTGAGGAGGTGTGGAGCCTGCGCGCCGTGCGTCAGGTGGTGTGGAGCTTGACGCTCCGTGCGTGAGGAGGTGTGGAGCGTGACGCTCCGTGCGTGAGGAGGGGTGGAGCGTGACGCTCCGTGCGTGAGGAGGGGTGGAGCGTGACGCTCCGTGCGTGAGGAGGGGTGGAGCGTGACGCTCCGTGCGTGAGGAGGGGTGGAGCGTGACGCTCCGTGCGTGAGGAGGGGTGGAGCGTGACGCTCCGTGCGTCAGGAGGTGTGGAGCCTGCGGGCCGTGCGTGCGGAGGTGTGGAGCTTGACGCTCCGTGCGTGAGGAGGTGTGGAGCCTGCGGGCCGTGCGTGCGGAGGTGCGGAACCTGCGCTCCGTGCGTGCGGAGGTGTGGAGCCTGACGCTCCGTGCGTGCGGAGGTGTGGAGCTTGACGCTCCGTGCGTGAGGAGGTGTGGAGCCTGCGGGCCGTGCGTGCGGAGGTGCGGAACCTGCGCTCCGTGCGTGAGGAGGTGTGGAGCCTGCGCGCCGTGCGTCAGGTGGTGTGGAGCTTGACGCTCCGTGCGTGAGGAGGTGTGGAGCGTGACGCTCCGTGCGTGAGGAGGGGTGGAGCGTGACGCTCCGTGCGTGAGGAGGGGTGGAGCGTGACGCTCCGTGCGTGAGGAGGGGTGGAGCGTGACGCTCCGTGCGTGAGGAGGGGTGGAGCGTGACGCTCCGTGCGTGAGGAGGGGTGGAGCGTGACGCTCCGTGCGTGCGGACGGGTGGAGCGTGACGCTCCGTGCGTGAGGAGGTGTGGAGCCTGACGCTCCGTGCGTGAGGAGGTGTGGAGCCTGCGCTCCGTGCGTGAGGAGGTGTGGAGCTTGACGCTCCGTGCGTGAGGAGGGGTGGAGCGGGACACTCCGTGCGTGCGGAGGTGTGGAGCCTGCGGGCCGTGCGTGCGGAGGTGCGGAGCGTGTGCTCCGTGCGTGAGGTGTGGAGCCTGACGCTCCGTGCGTGAGGAGGTGTGGAGCGTGACCCTCCGTGCGTGAGGAGGTGTGGAGCGTGACGCTCCGTGCGTGCGGAGCTGTGGAGCGTGACGCTCCGTGCGTGCGGACGTGTGGAGCCTGCGCTCCGTGCGTGAGGAGGTGTGGAGCGTGACGCTCCGTGCGTGAGGAGGGGTGGAGCGTGACGCTCCGTGCGTGAGGAGGTGTGGAGCGTGACGCTCCGTGCGTGCGGAGGTGTGGAGCCTGCGCGCCGTGCGTCAGGAGGTGTGGAGCGTGATGCTCTGTACCAGTCCGAGTGCACTCTTCCAAACTCACGCACCTGGGGAAACAGGAGCAGCTCTCCCGTCGTGTCCTCAGGAGAGCCCGTGAGGTTGGATGCAGAGCGGAGCGTCTCGTCGTGAGCGGCCCGCAGAGAAGGCGCTGAGGATCCATCGCTGGCGGGCAGGGCCTGCGGTCACCGCGGGTCTGCCCTGCTCCACCCGGAAGAGGGGGAGTCCATCCTCCTTCCAAGATGGAGCTGACGGGTTCTCTCTCAGAAGCTCTCCGTGACTCAGCAGAACAGCCCCGGGGGGCTCCAGTGTCCCGCCTCCGCTAGTCTTTGCTCTCTACAGGAGGCCCGAGGGGGGCTCGCTGACTTTCTCACCCCAGCCCCCCACCCCAGGTAGCCTGCTGCTGCTGCTGCTAAGTCGCTTCAGTCGTGTCCGACTCTGTGCGACCCCATAGACGGCAGCCCACCAGGCTCCCCCGTCCCTGGGATTCTCCAGGCAAGAACACTGGAGTGGGGTGCCATTTCCTTCTCCAATGCATGAAAGTGAAAAGTGAAAGTGAAGCCGCTCAGTCGTGTCCGACTCTTAGCGACCCCTTGTACTGCAGCCTACCAGGCTCCTCCACCCATGGGATTCTCCAGGCAAGAGTCCTGGAGTGGGGTGCCATTGCCTTCTCCATCAGGTAGCCTGAGAGTGACTCAAACAAACAGGCACAACGTCGCAGAGGCAGGAGGTGGGAGGGAGGGTGTTCTGCATGGGGGACAGGACCTTGTGGAAACAGGGACCCCCCTTCCTGTGGAGAGACAGGGTGCTGGGGGGTAGCCAAACTGGGGGAGCATGAGAAAACCCAGGTGGGCATCCTGGGGGGGGCAGGAAGGGGAGAATGGGTGTCCCCTGTAGGAGGCTTTGATCGCAGGGTCCCCTGGTCAGGAGGTAAGGTCTGTCTCCACTTTCCAGGCTGACCGCTGGACTCTGTAATGTGGATGGAGAGGCAGGTGGGACCACCGGGGGAGGACGGGCTGGGGGCCGGAGGAAGGGGAAGCGCAGTGGTCACTGAGGGTGGGGGGCAGGGTTGGGGGGCGGGGATCAGGGGTAGGAAGTTCAGGAGGAGACCCTCCTGCCCCGCGACGCCACCCATGGAACCAGCAGGGACACCCAGGGCTGCACACACCTCTCCCTCTGCTCTGAAGGGCAGGCCCCGAGCCTGTGAGTCAGCGGGCTGACTCCTCGTCTAGCCTGGGCTCTCGTCCGGGGTGGGGACAACCGGCCTGACTGGTGTCTGCTCCGCGGGCTCCCCCGTCAGCCAGGAGACCAGCCCAGGCCTGCTCCACCGCCAGGGCCAGGCCCCCGGGAGAGTGGGCAGGAGCCACTGGGCTCATGGAGGACCAGGCCTGCTGCCTGCCGCTGGCTCCACGTCCTCCTGGACACGGCAGGTCACAGCCAGGCCCGGGTCAGGAGAGGAGACACACACCCTGGCTCCCGATGAGCCGGGCCCCCCATCACTTCTTGGGGGCGGACACGGGGCCTATGAGACCTTGGCCATGGGTCATGTTCAGCTCCTGAAACCAAACGAGTTGCTGGTTGATACAATCGTGTGTCCCTCAGAATGTTGTTAAGGGAATTAGGGGGAGAAGGATCTCTAGTGCTCCCTATCTGACTTATCTCCGTGCTTGTCATTCATTACAAAATTAGTAACCTTTATGAAAGACCTATGCCTGCTGCAGTCCATGGGGTCACAGAGTCAGACACGACAGAGCAATGGAGCTGCACTGAAATGTACCTGCTACCGGTGGGTGCTGAGGGGAGGCATCCGCTGTGCTGTGCTTATCGCTCAGTCATGTCCCACCAGGCCCCGCTGTCCACAGGATACTCCAGGCAAGAACACTGGAGTGGGTTGCCATGTTCTATACCAGAGTATCTTCCTGACTCAGGGATTGGACCTGCATCTCCTGTGTCTCCTGCATGGGCAGGCGGGTTCTTTACCACCTGGGAAGGCCCCACAGAAAGAATGCAGAGGGTAAAACCGCCTTCCCAGAAGAACCGAACCAACCAGTGCCCTGCAGCCTCTGCCCGGAGCCACCGCCTGGCCCTGCCTCCCGCCTGAGTCACCCAGTGAGCCTCGCTGGGTGCGGAGGGCGGCCTGCCTAGCCGTCCTACCCAGCTCTGCGCAGCCCTCGGGGGGCAGATATTTACTCACGGGCTGGAGCAGATTTTCAGCCACACCTGGGTGCCTCCCGGTGATCAGGAGAAAATGTGGAGCGGAAGGCAAGCATCCCTTTGACTGAGGGGAGTCTGCTTGCAGGAAGGTTGAGTGGTGGGAGGGGTCAGGGAGCAGCTTTGCTTGCTAACTGGAAACATTTGTGGTGGAAAGCTTTCTCCAGGATCCAAGGACCCTTTGGAGGAGGCCAGACA